AAGAGGATTGGGAGAATGTCATATGGTCAGATGAAACCAAAATAGAACTTTTTGGTAAAAAACTCAACTCGTCGTGTTTGGAGGACAAAGAATGCTGAGTTGCATCCAAAGAACACCATACCTACTGTGAAGCATGGGGTGGAAACATCATGCTTTGGGGCTGTTTTTCTGCAAAGGGACTAGGACGACTGATCCGTGTAAAGGAAAGAATGAATGGGGCCATGGTATCGTGAGATTTTGAGTGAAAACCTCCTTCCATCAGCAAGGGACATTGAAGATGAAACGTGGATGGTCTTTCAGCATGACAATGATCCCACAACACACCGCCGGGCAACGAAGGAGTGGGCTTCGTAAGAAGCATTTCAAGGTCCTGGAGTGGCCTAGCCAGTCTCCAGATCTCAACCCCCATAGAAAATCTTTGGAGGGAGTTGAAAGTCTGTGTTGCCCAGCGACAGCCCCAAAAACATCACTGCTCTAGAGGAGATCTGCATGGAGGAATGGGCCAAAATACCAGCAACAGTGTGATGAAAACCTTGTGAAGACTTCAGAAAACGTTTTGACCTGTGTCATTGCCAACAAAGGGTATATAACAAAGTATTGAGAAACTTTTGTATTGAACCAATACTTATTTTCCACCATTTTCCATTTGTTGTATAGGTGACGTGTAACTCTGATGAACATTACAGCCTCTCGCATCTTTTTAAGTGGGAGAACTTGCCACAATTGGTGCTTGACTAAATAATTTTTTTCCCCCCTGTATCCCCTGGCTGTAGGAACCTCTAGTCTTAATACACAATTACAGTGGGGGAAAAAAAAAAAAGTATTTGGTCCCCCAAGGGAAATTCTCCCCTAAAAAATAAAGAGGGCCTTTTTCCTTTCCCCGTCCTTTTAAGCCCCTTGGGGAAAAAAAAAAAACACTTGTAAAAAAATTTTTTTTAAAAAATTAGGGGGAAAAAAGTTTTGGCACCTCAAAAAAACGGGCCCAAAAGCCTGTAACTTTTCAAAGGGCCCCTTGTTTTTAAAAAAATATTTTGAATTTTATATTAAAGAATGAAATAAAATTTTTCCCCCCCAAAAACCCCTATGGCAACCAAAGACTGTGGAAAAACAAAAAACCCCCGGTGGGGAAACTTAATCCCCTTTTAAAACACTTTTTGAAAAAAAATTAAAAACACTTGTTTTTTTTTAAAATTAAAATTTAAATTTGGTGGAAATAAGTTTGTGGTGTCATGCCAGACAAACTGTGTCATGGTCATTAGTATGAGATGTTTGTTCATGGACCGAAATACGGTGTATTTTCCCCATACTTACATCATGTTGTTTACAAGTTCTGTAAGATAGAAAACACTGTCAAGAGCCTATATATGGGTTGTTATAGTGTAGTGGGTGATTGTAGCACTAATATGGTTGTAAGTGTAGTGTGTATTTAACTAATATGGGTTGTTATAGTTAGTGGTTATTGTAACGCAATACTGGGTTGTTAATATGTAGTGGTGTATTGTAGACCTAATATGGTTGTTATAGTGTATGGTTATGTAGACTAATATGGGTTGTTATAGTGAGGGGTGTATTGTAGACTCATATGGTTTTTTAGGTAGTGGTGTATTGTAACTAATATGGGTTGTTATAGTGTAGTGTTATTGTGACTACTTGGTTTTTAAGTGTAGTGGTTGTATTTGCAATACTGGGTTGTTATAGTAGTGTGTTTGTCAGCACAATATGGGTTGTTCTATAGTGTATGGTTAATGTAGACTAATTGGTGTTATAGTGTTGTTTTGTAGCTATCTGGTTGTATAGTGTAGTGGTGTATTGTAGACTATATGGGTGTTATAGTTGTAGTGGTTATTGTGCACTATAGGGTTGTATAAATGTAGTGTGTATGTAGACACATATGGGTTGTTATATGGAGGTGTATGTAGACTAATATGGTGTTAGTGTAGTGGTGTTACTTGGGTAAGACTGAATTTATAGGTTTATAGCAGTTGGTTGTATTGATGACTATATGGGTTGTTATAGTGTGATGTATTAAACTCAATTGGGTTTTATATGATGGTGTATTGTAGACTAATATGGTTGTTATAGTGTATAGTGGTTGATTGTAGACTAATATGGGTTGTTATATGTATGGTGTATTGTAGACTATATGGTTGTTATAGTGTTGGTGTATTGTAGACCAAATGGGTTGTTTTAAAGTGTAGTTTTTATTTAACTAATATGGGTTTATCAGTGTAGTGGGTATTGTAACTAAAACTGGGTGTTATAGTGTATGGTTACTGTAACTAATATGGTTGTTATAGTGTAGTGGTGTATTGTAGACTAATATGGGTTGTATATGTGTAGTGGTGTTTGTAGACTAAATATGGGTTGTTATAGTGTAGTGGTGTATTGTAGACTAATATGGGTTGTTATAAGTGTAGTGGTGTATTGTGACTAATATGGGTTGTTATAGTGTAGTGGTGTATTGTAGACTAATATGGGTTGTTATAGTGTAGTGGTGTATTGTAGACTATATGGGTTGTTATAGTGTAGTGGTGTATTGTAGACTAATATGGGTTGTTATAGTGTAGTGGTGTATTGTAGACTAATATGGGTTGTTATAGTGTAGTGGTGTATTGTAGACTAATATGGGTTGTTATAGTGTAGTGGTGTATTGTAGACTAATATGGGTTGTTATAGTGTAGTGGTGTATTGTGCCATATGGGTTGTTATAGTGGTGTGATGTATTGTAGACTAATATGGTGTTTATAGTGTAGTGTGATTGTACTAAGGGTTGTATAGTGTAGTGGTGTATTGTAGACTAATATGGGTTGTTATAGTGTGTGGTGTATTTGTAGACTAATATGGGTTGTTAAGTGTAGTGTGTGGTGTATTGTAGACTAATATGGGTTGTTATAGTTAGTGGTGTATTGTAGACTAATCATGGGTTGTTATAGTGTAGTGGTGTATTGTAGACTAATATGGGTTGTTATAGTGTAGTGGTGTATTGTAGACTATATGGTTGTTATAGTGTAGTGGTGTATTGTAGACCATATGGGTTGTTATAGTGTAGTGGTGTATTGTGACTATATGGTTGTTTATGTAGTGGTGTATTGTAGACATATGGGTTGTTATAGTGTAGTGGTGTTTGTAGACTAATTGGTTTTTATAGTTGTAGTGTTGTGATGTTATTGTGACTAATATGGGTTGTTATCGTGTAGTGGTGTGTGTATTGTAGACTAATCTGGGTTGTTCTATGTAGTGGTGTATTTGTTCTATTGGGTTGTTCTCGTGTGTGGTGTTTGTGACTATTGGGTTGTTTATGTGTGGTGTATTGTAGACTATATGGTTGTTATAGTGTAGTGGTGTATTGTAGCTAATAGGGTTGTTATAGTGGTGTGGTGTCATTGTAGACTAACTATGGGTTGTTATAGTGTATGGTGTATTGTAGACTAATATGGGTTGTTATAGTGTAGTGGTGTATTGTAGACTACTATGGGTTGTTATAGTGTCGTGGTGTCTTGTCAGACTACTATGGGTTGTTTAGTGTAGTGGTGTATTGTAGACTAATATGGGTTGTTATAGTGTAGTGGTGTATTGTAGACTAATATGGGTTGTTATAGTGTAGTGGTGTATTGTAGACTAATATGGGTTGTTATAGTGTAGTGGTGTATTGTAGACTAATATGGGTTGTTTAGTGTAGTGGGTGTATTGTAGACTAATATGGGTTTGTTATCGTGTAGTGGTGGTATTGTAGACTAATTGGGTTGTTATAGTGTAGTGTGTATTGTAGACTAATATGGGTTGTTATAGTGTAGTGGTGTATTGTAGACTAATATGGGTTGTTATAGGTGTAGTGGTGTATTGTAGACCTAATATGGGTTGTTTATTGTAGTGAGGGTTGCGTGTATTGTGAGACTAATATGGGTTGTTATAGTGTGTGGTGTATTGTAGACTAATATGGGTTGTTATAGTGTAGTGGTGTATTGTAGACTAATTGGGTTGTTATAGTGTAGTGGTGTATTGTAACTATATTGGTTGTTTGTGGTGTGTGTATTGTAGACTAATATGGGTTGTTTATAGTGTGTGATGTATTGTAGACTAATATGGGTTGTTATAGTGTAGTGGTGTATTGTAGACGAATATGGGTTGTTATAGTGGTGTGATGTATTGTAGACTAATATGGGTTGTTATAGTGTAGTGGTGTATTGTAGACTAATATGGGTTGTTATAGTGTAGTGGTGTATTGTAGACTAATATGGGTTGTTATAGTGTAGTGGTGTATTGTAGACTAATATGGGTTGTTATAGTGTAGTGATGTATTAAGCTGATGCACTTCACCTTTGAGTTGAGCATGATCTCAGGCGCACGATACCAACGAGTTGCAACATACTCCGTCAGGAAACCTGTGTGATCGTGGTCCGGGTCAGCCACACGCGCAAGACCAAAGTCACAGATCTAAGGAGGGGAAGGGGGAGGAGTTTAGAAAGGAGGGTAGAGGAAGGGAGGAGGAGAGAGAGGAGAGGAGGTGAGGGGTAGAGGAGGAGGTGAGCGGGTAAGAGGGAGTAGAGGGCGGAGAGGAGTAGGCGGTAGGAGCTCTCTCTCGCTCTTCTTCCCGCTCGCTTTCCTCTTTCCTCCTCTCTCTCTCTTTCGTCTCCTTTTCTCTCTTCTCGCTTCTCGCTTCTCTCTCCTTCTCTCTTCTCTCTTCGCTTGCTCTCTTCTTCCTCTTCTCTCTTCCTCTCTCTCGTTCTCTCTTCTCTCTTCTCTCTTCCTTCGCTCTCTCTTCTTCTCTTCCCTCCTTCTCTTCTCTCTTCTCTCTCTTCTCTCTTCTTCTCCTCGCTCTTCTCTTTTCTCTCGCTTCTCTCTTCTCTCTTCTCTCTTCTTCTCTCTCGCTTCTTTTTCTCTCGTCTTCTCTCTTGTTTCTCTTCCCCTTCGCTTCTCTCTTCTTCTTCTGATCCGTTTCGGCGATCGCTGCTAACTCTTCAGAGATTGGTAGTCTCATGTTCAGTGTTGATGTGCAGTGATTACGTCAGGTTCTGTACCTTTAGATCACAGGTGGTATTGAGCAGCATGTTGGAGGGCTTGAGGTCGCGGTGCAGAACGTTAGCTGAGTGGATGTACTTCAGGCCTCTCAGGATCTGGTACAGGAAGTAACAGATGTGATCATTGCTCAGGTGCTGCGTCTTCAGGAGCTTGTACAGGTCTGTTTCCATCAAGTCCTGCACTATGTAGCTGGATAACAGAGGGTTAAGGAACATACTAGACTGGGGGTGTTAATCAGACTGCACTGCTGCTGTGTTGGTGGCATGGGGGAGAGAACCACAACAACCACAAGATAAATCCAGACGATGCGTAATGAAAGTGTGACTAACGTCTGACAGAATGTACAGTGTGGGACCCTGACAAAGTTAAGACTATTCTGATGAACATGCGGTACAAATAACATCAGGACAACTTTCCTGCAGCGCTGTAAAGGATACACGTCCTTCATCTGGTCAATGGAGGGCATACGGATGATGTCGTTGATGCTGATGATGTTCTCATGTTTAAAGCGCAGCAGGATCTTAATCTCTCTCAGAGTCCTCTGGCAGTACGTCTGGTGCTCAAACGGACTGATCTTCTCTTAATCCCAGGGCGCCGGACCTTGTTGTCACGGCAATATGCAGAGCTGGGGAGAGAGAGAGAGGTTAGAGTCAGAGCTGGACAGAGAGAGAGGTTAGAGTCAGAGCTGGGGAGAGAGGGGTTAATCAGGCTGGGGAGAGAGAGGGTAGTTATGTCAGAGCTGGGAGAGAGAGAGAGAGGTTAGAGTCAGAGCTGGGGAGAGAGAGGGGTTAGAGTCGAGCTGGGGAGAGAGGAGAGGGTTAGAGTCAGAGCTGGGGAGAGAGAGGGGGTTAGAGTCAGAGCTGGGGAGAGAGAGAGAGGAGGTTAGAGTCAGAGCTGGGGAGAGAGAGAGAGAGGAGGTTAGAGTCAGAGCTGGGGAGAGAGAGAGAGAGAGAGAGGGTTAGAGTCAGAGCTGGGGAGAGAGAGAGAGGAGGTTAGAGTCAGAGCTGGGGAGAGAGAGAGAGGGGGTTAGAGTCAGAGCTGGGGGAGAGAGAGAGAGGAGGGTTAGAGTCAGAGCTGGGGAGAGAGAGAGGGTTAGAGTCAGAGCTGGGGAGAGAGAGAGAGAGGGTTAGAGTCAGAGCTGGGGAGAGAGAGAGAGGAGGTTAGAGTCAGAGCTGGGGGGAGAGAGAGAGAGAGGAGGTTAGAGTCAGAGCTGGGGAGAGAGAGAGAGAGGGAGGTTAGAGTCAGAGCTGGGGAGAGAGAGAGAGGAGGTTAGAGTCAGAGCTGGGGGAGAGGAGGAGAGAGAGGAGGGTTAGAGTCAGAGTGGGAGAGAGAGAGAGGGGTTTTAGAGTCAGAGCCGGGGAGAGAGAGAGAGGAGGTTAGAGTCAGAGCTGGGGAGAAGAGAGAGAGGGTTTTAGAGTCAGAGCTGGGGAGAGAGAGAGGTTTTTAGAGTCAGCAGCTGGGGAGGAGAGAGAGAGAGAGGGTTAGAGTCAGAGCTGGGGAGAGAGAGAGAGGTAGGTTAGAGTCAGAGCTGGGAGAGAGAGAGAGGAGGTTAAGAGTCAGAGCTGGGGACGAAGAGAGAGAGGAGGTTAGAGTTCAGCAGAAGCTGGGGAGAGAGAGAGGTTAGAGTCACTCTTTGAGCTGGGGACAGAGAGAGAGGGTTTAGAGTCAGAGCTGGGGAGGAGCGAGAGAGAGGAGGTTCGAGTTCAGAGCCTGGGGAGAGAGGCGAGGAGGTTAGAGTCAGAGCTGGGGAGAGAGGAGAGGGGTTAGAGTCAGAGCTGGGGAGAGAGAGAGAGAGGTAGGTAGAGTCAGAGCTGGGGGAGAGAGAGAGGAGAGAGAGGGTTAGAGTCAGAGCTGGGGAGGAGAGAGAGAGGGTTAGAGTCAGAGCTGGGGAGAGAGAGAGAGGGTTTAGAGTCAGAGCTGGGGAAGAGAGAGAGGAGGTTAGAGTCAGAGCTGGGGATAGAGAGAGGGTTAGAGTCAGAGCTGGAGAGAGAGAGGAGGTTAGAGTCAGAGCTGGGGAGAGAGAGAGAGGGTTAGAGTCAGAGCTGGGGAGAGAGAGAGAGAGGGGTTAGAGTCAGAGCTGGGGAGAGAGAGAGGGTTAGATCAGAGCAGAGCTGGGAGAGAGAGAGAGAGAGGGTTAGAGTCAGAGCTGGGGAGAGAGAGAGAGAGGGTTAGAGTCAGAGCTGGGGAGAGAGAGAGAGGGTTAGAGTCAGAGCTGGGGAGAGAGAGAGGGTTAGAGTCAGAGCTGGGAGAGAGGAGAGAGGGTTAGAGTCAGAGCTGGGGAGAGAGAGAGGGTTAGGTAGAGTGCAGAGTGGGGAGAGAGAGAGAGAGAGGGTTTAGAGTCAGAGCTGGGGAGAGAGAGAGAGGGGTTAGAGTCAGAGCTGGGGAGAGAGGAGAGGAGGGTTAGAGTCAGAGCTGGGGACAGAGAGAGAGAGGGTTAGAGTCAGAGCTGGGGGAGAGAGAGAGGGTTAGAGTCAGAGCTGGGGGAGAGAGAGAGAGGGTTAGAGTCAGAGCTGGGGAGAGAGAGGAGAGGGTTAGAGTCAGAGCTGGGGAGAGAGAGAAGAGGGTTAGAGTCAGAGCTGGGAGGAGAGAGGAAGGAGAGGTTAGAGTCAGAGCTGGGGAAGAGAGAGAGAGGGTTAGAGTCGAGCTGGGGAGAGAGAGAGAGAGGAGAGAGAGGGGTTAGAGTCAGAGCTGGGGACAGAGAGAGGAGGGGTTAGAGTCAGAGCTGGAGAGAGAGAGAGGGTTAGAGTCAGAGCTGGGGACAGAGAGAGAGAGGGTTAGAGTCAGAGCTGGGGAGAGAGAGAGAGAGGAGGGGTTAGAGTCAGAGGCTGGGGAGAGAGAGAGAGGGTTAGAGTCAGAGCTGGGGGAGAGCGAGAGGGTTAGAGTCAGAGCTGTGGGAGGAGGAGAGAGGAGAGAGGTTAGAGTCAGAGCTGGGGGAAGAGAGAGAGAGGGTGTTAGAGTCAGAGCTGGGGAGAGAGAAGAGAGGGTTAGAGTCCAGAGCTGGGGAGAGAGAGAGAGGGTTAGAGTCAGAGCTGGGGACAGAGAGAGAGAGGGTTAGAGTCAGAGCTGGGGAGAGGAGAGAGGGTTAGAGTCAGAGCGGGGGAGAGAGAGAGGGTTAGAGTCAGAGATGGGGAGAGACGAGAGAGGATGGTTTAGAGTCAGAGCTGGGGACAGAGAGAGAGAGGGTTAGAGTCAGAGCTGGGGAGAGAGAGAGAGAGAGAGGGTTAGAGTCAGAGCTGATGAGAGAGAGAGCAGCCAACCAAGAATTCACAAAAAAATGGGACAAACACCAAATTGAGACTCTGCATGCAGAATTTTGCAAAAATATCCTCAGTGTACAACGTAAAACACCAAATAATGCATGCAGAGCAGAATTAGGCCAATACCCTCTAATTATCAAAATCCAGAAAAGAGCCGTTAAATTCTATAACCACTTAAAAGGAAGCGATTCCCAAACCTTCCATAACAAAGCCATCACCTACAGAGAGATGAACCTGGAGAAGAGTCCCCTAAGTAAGCTGGTCCTGGGGCTCTGTTCACAAACACAAACAGACCCCACAGAGCCCCAGGACAGCAACACAATTGCACCCAACCAAATCATGAGAAAACAAAAAGAGAATTACTTGACACATTGGAAAGAATTAACAAAAAAACAGAGCAAACTAGAATGCTATTTGGCCCTAAACAGAGAGTACACAGTGGCAGAATATCTGACCACTGTGACTACCCCAAACTTAAGGAAATCTTTGACTATGTACAGACTCAGTGAGCATAGCCTTGCTATTGAGAAAGGCCACCGTAGGCAGACCTGGCTCTCAAGAGAAGACAGGCTATGTGCACACTGCCCACAAAATGAGGAGGAAACTGAGCTGCACTTCCTAACCTCCTGCCAAATGTATGACCATATTAGAGACACATATTTCCCTCAGATTACACAGACCCACAAATAATTAGAACTCTCATATCTATTGGGTGAAATACCACAGACAGACAGAGACAGAGAGAGACAGAGACAGAGAGAGAGAGAGAGAGAGGAGAGACAGAGAGAGAGAGAGAGGACAGTGTTTCCATGGAAACGGAGTACAAGGTCTTAGATATTGCAGCCAGTGTGGCAGATTATGCAACAGGCCGTTGCTATGACAATGTGGAGGGGGGAGGAGGGGAGGAGCTAAACCCTGCCAACAGGTTTATACAGTGAAACCATCTCAGCTACTATAATCTATATACAGACTATAGCAGGGAATCGGATTATTATTATATTATTATTATTATTATTATTATTATTATTATTATTATTATCTAAGCCAATATGACACCAGTCGATGAAAAATCACAAATCAACTTGGAGGTACACACAATCCCCCCCTCTCGTCATGATCCGTCCGGCCGTTACAGAGAACCACCAGATTTCTTTACACGGTACAGTTAGCATTAGGTTCGTCAGCTCAAATTCCAGACGTCTAATTAAATGAAGGCTACAGAGTCCATAAGGGGACAATTAGACTTGGATCCATTTGGACTGAACAAGTTTGTTTGTGCAACAGTTTTTATAAAATGTATAATAAAAAATAAAAAAAATAAAAACGCTTTCACACATTTCAGTCCATTAAGAACCAACCATTGAGATCCTATTAAATTACTAGAGGGGCTATTTCATAAACCCGCATAGTTTCATAACGGGCCAAAAATGGCAGCCATCTTGGTCAGGGAGAAATCCAAAACCAGTCTAATTGGAATGAATGGCAGTAGAGGCACCATAGGAATGAATTTCCTGCTTTTACGTATTAAAATGTAATGTATCAGAGATTGTGTCATGGAATTATAGTCAACCTAAAATATTGTAATATAAGTATAAATACAGTTTATACAGGTTTTATACAAACTTTAAATAAATAACCTCTAAAATACATTTGTTTGGGGTCACTTAGAAATGTCCTTGTTTTCGAAAGAAAAGCAATTTTTTTCGGCTATTAAAATAACATCAAAATTGATCAGAAATACAGTGTAGACATTGTTAATGTTGTAAATGGCTATTGTTGCTGGAAACGGCTGAATTTTACTGGAATATCTACATAGGCGTAGTAAGTAGTAAGTATTTTATTGGCTGTGATAGGAGAAAACTAAGGATGGATCAACAACATTGTAGTTACTCCATAATACTGACCTAATTGACTGAGGGAAAGGGAAGCCTGTACAAAATAAAAAATATTCCAAAACATGCATCCTGTTCGCGTAATACTGCAAAAAATGTGGCAAAGCAATTCACTTTTTGTCCTGAATACAAAGTGTTATGTTTGGGTCAAATCCAACACAACACATTACTGAGTACCACTCTCAATTATTTCAAGCATAATGGTGGCTGCATCATGTTATGGGTATGCTTGTAATCGTTAAGGACTGGGGAGTTTTTCAGGATAAAAAAGAAATGGAATGGAGCTAATGCACAGGCAAAATCCTGTAGAACAACTTGGTTCAGTCTGCTTTCCACCAGACACTGACTAAGAAAAAAATAGTGAATGTTCCTGAGTAGCCGAGTTCCAGTTTTGACTTAAATCTACTAGAAAATCTATGGCAAGACCTGAAAATGGCTGTCGAGCAATGATCAACAACCAAATTGACAGAGCTAAGAATTTTGAAAAGAATAATGGGCAAATGTTGTACAATCCAGGTGTGGAAAGCTCTTAGAGACTTATTCAAAAAGACTCTCAGCTGTAAACGCTGCCAAAGGTGATTCTACAAAGTATTGACTGAGGGGTGTGAATACTAATGTAAATTACATATTTATTTGTCATTATATTATTATATTTTATGTGTGTAGATGGGTGAGAAAAAATATCAATTTAAAATCAATTTAGAACTCAGGCTGTAACACAACAAATGTGGAAGGGGTGTGAATACTTTCTGAAGGCACCGTAGGGCATCTTATACATCGTATTCTGGGGTATTTGGAAATAGCCACGGGATGGTTTTTCAACTTTGTCAATACCGTTGAAACAATTTCTTTGAACTTTTTATTTAATTTAATTTTTTATAAATGTGAATATTTGTAGCTACTTTCTAAGTAAATACCTGCAGTCAACTTGTGCAATAAGTTATGAGTTAATGATCACTTTCTTCATTTAACACGTCACATAATTTGTCCGTTTTTTATTTACAAGCACAATGACGAGACACCGGAGCCTTGTGAGTCACTCCCTGTTGTGCAGAGCGCCTGGTGATCTAGTTACAGGATGGAATGCACAACTAAATCTTTGCCGGCTAGATATCTTATAACTATTTTTTTTATTTATTTTTTTAGTCATTTAGCAGACGCTCTTATCCAGAGCGACTTACAGTTAGCGCATACATTATTTTTATCAAACCCACAACCCTGGCGTTGCAAACACCATGCTCTACCAACTGAGCTACATCCCCTGCCGGCCATTCCCTCCCCTACCCTGGACGACGCTGGGCCAATTGTGCGCCGCCCCATGGGTCTCCCGGTCGCGGCCGGCTATGACAGAGCCTGGATTCGAACCAGGATCTCTAGTGGCACAGCTAGTGGCACAGCTAGCACTGCGATGCAGTGCCTTAGACCACTGCGCCACTCGGGAGGTTGGTAACTATTAAGTTAACTGTCTAAAATGTGCTAAATGCTCTGCAGTTGTGCATTTGGTTTGCTAATTTAGTAGCTAGTTAGCTACGTCGCTAAGTGGCTAGGTTAGGTAACAGCAGAGAATCCCCTCTGCTGGATCAAGAACCTTGCTGTCTAATATTTATTTTGTGGATGCAGCAAACTGTGAGTAGCATTTAGCATTTAGCATTTAGCATCCTGGGCTGAGACTGTCTAAAACGTTCGCAATGCACTCCTTAGCATTTAGCTTTTAGCTACCATTCTCTATGGAATTTGATATGTAGTTATTAGCATTGCTAACCTTCGGATTACAAAGGTTCAGTGGGTTTTGAAAATGTGTTCAGTTCCGGTATTACAGAATATCCCGGTACGGCAAAAGGTCGGTATGAAGGTATGACAATCCGCCCAAGCCTAGCCTACTGTATTTATCTTTTAATGCAGTCATTTCTGTTCTCATTTGAAGCATCTTTTCACCCTTTGCTTGTTTATAACAATTGCAAAGTCATTGGCAAATTTGTATTTAAGTGAACTTCGATGAGGTTATCGGCGGTCACAGAGAGAGAAATAAACATATTGATTCTAGGTTTAGCGGCGATCTTGTGTGTATAAAGTGACGCGGAAGGGCAAAAAAGCATCTAACGACCCAGTGTGGTCTGAGGCAGTCGGTAAATAATAAGTGTTTTCAAGTGCAACTTTAGTAACGATGGTTTTGGGATTTAACGATGCGCCTATGAAGGTTTTAACGATGAACTTTAGCCTTAGGGAAAACTGGACCCTTGACAATAATTTGTGTGAGACAAAAACACACATTTTGTAACATAATTTGAAGCGCAAATTACATTTTCGAAAGACACATTTTGCATGTGGAAATGTTGTATCTGGTGTAAAAGCCATGGAAATTAAAAAATGTATATACACTACCAGTCAAAAGTTTGGACACCTACTCATTCAAGGGTTTTTATATATTTTTACTATTTTCTACATTGCAGAATAATAGTGAAGACATCAAAACTATGAAATAACACATATGGAATCATGTAGTAACCGGAATGTAAATAATAGTACAAATAAAGAAAAACCCTTGAATGAGTAGGTGTGTCCAAACTTTTGACTGGTAGTGTATATGTTTAAAGCGAGAAGCATTGGTCTGAAGCCTAAAAAGAAAAGGAAATTCACCACAGTCCACCCATGAGTCCACCCATGAGTCCACCCATGCTCCACCAAGGTTTCCCAGCACACAGCTTTGACCTACTACAGTAGCCGTGTTGGTCTACTGTACTTCAAACAGTGTATGCAGGTTGCTTAGGACTCAAACGTAACAGCCTAATTCTTCAGAGGAATAAGGGACTTTACAGTGTCCTGCTATTAAAATAACACACACACAATATATATATATATATATATATATATACATACACACACACACACACAAAAGAATGTGGACACTCCTTCAAATTGGATTCGGCTAGACCAACTGACTTGTTGGAAAGGTGACATCCTATGACGGTGCCACGTTGAACGTCACTGAGCTCTTCAGTAAGGCCATTCTACTGCCAATGTTTGTCCATGGAGATTGCACGGCTGTGTGCTGTCAGCAACCGGTGTGGCTGTAGTGTCCATTACTTTGTGACAAGACAAAGTGATGTAAAAAGGGCATCATGAATACATTTGAGTGACATCTCCTCTAGAGCAGTGATTGCTACTTCCTCTATTTCATTCTGTGGTGACCACAATCAGTGCTCTCTGGCTGAGACTGGAAGTGAACACCTTCCCATACACACACACACAGGGTACCTATCCTGCGGTTCTCTTGTCAATCCCCTCATTAACCCCTACTGCCTCCAAACACACAGAACAGAGAACAGAGAACAGACCACACCAGAGACAGGGGTTTACAATATGATAACTAGCAGTGATAGTGGGAGTAAAGCCACACGTCGTTCCACCTCGCTCTGACATCGCAAACGCTGTTCCGCCTCTCTCTGACATCGCGAACGCTGTTCCGCCTCTCTGACATCGCGAACGCTGTTCCGCCTCTCTCTGACATCGCGAATGCTGTTCCACCTCTCCAACATCGCGAACGTCGTTCCGCCTCTCTCTGACATCGAACGTCGTTCCGCCTCTCTCTGACATCGAACGTCGTTCCGCCTCTCTCTGACATCGAACGTCGTTCCGCCTCTCTCTGACATCGAACGTCGTTCCGCCTCTCTCTGAATCGAACGTCGTTCCGCCTCTCTCTGACATCGAACGTCGTTCCGCCTCTCTCTGACATCGAACGTCGTTCCGCCTCTCTCTGACATCGAACGTCGTTCCGCCTCTCTCTGACATCGAACGTCGTTCCGCCTCTCTCTGACATCGAACGTCGTTCCGCCTCTCTCTGACATCGAACGTCGTTCCACCTCTCTCTGACATCGAACGTCGTTCCACCTCTCTCTGACATCGAACGTCGTTCCACCTCTCTCTGACATCGAACGTCGTTCCACCTCTCTCTGACATCGAACGTCGTTCCACCTCTCTCTGACATCGAACGTCGTTCCACCTCGCTCTAACATTGTGAACGTCGTTCCACCTCTCTCTAACATTGTGAACATCGTTCCACCTCGCTCTAACATTGTGAACGTTGTGCTCTACAGAAACGCTGCTAAACAAATAGTGCTAGATGCAAGTGCACTTTAATTAAAGGGTAATTACAAGTGAACATTTCTTAGATGTTTACCAGACCTCAAAAGTGGTGTCCTGATGTGTTTTTAGCATTGTTGTGTACTTAGAAAATAACAGTATTGTTTTTCCACGAAAAAAGTTTGATTTTGAGAGCGAAAACCTGAAAAAACTGGGGGAAAAACTGAAGACCATTAACCCCCAAACTAATCCTAAACCCGAAAACCATCAACCCCCAAACTAATCCTAAACCTGAAAACCATCAACCCCCAAACTAATCCTAAACCTGAAAACCATTAACCCCCAAACTAATCCTAAACCTGAAAACCATCAACCCCCAAACTAATCCTAAACCCGAAAACCATTAACCCCCAAACTAAGGAATGAAACGCAAAATCTTTCAAAAGAAAGCTGAAATCTATTTTCCATGTTTTCTTTTAACAGAACAGAGTTTTTCTTTTTTATTGGTTATCCCTGTTCTGTTAACCATTGAAAAATGAAATTACTAGGATAATTACAGGAAAAATACTGTAAGAAAATGTTTTAATATTTCACTGTGTTTAAATATTGTTATCATTTAAAGTTCTAGATCGCAGGAAATTGCAGTTTCACGTGTTCAAAAATACAAAGCTGTGATTCCAAAGGGGGGTGCTGTCCCTCACCTGACTCATCAGCACCAAGTCACATATGTTGGACTCACTCGTGCAATAATATATTTTAACATGATTTATGAATGACTATCTCATCTCCGTACCCCACACATACTATTATGGGACTTGTTTATCACATTTTTACTCCTGAACTTGCCATAACAAAGGGGTTGAATACTTACTGACTTAAAACATTTCAGCTTTTAATTTTTTATTAAATTTGTAAAAATGTCTATAACAAATATTCAACTTTGATATTATGGGGTATTGTGCGCAGGCCAGACTCTGCTTGGACCAGCCTAAACCAGTGTGAATACTTTATGGAGACTCTGTATGGACCAGCCTAAACCAGTGTGAATACTTTCTGAAGACTCTGGACCAGCCTAAACCAGTGTGAATACTTTCTGGAGACTCTGGACCAGCCATAAAACAGTGTTTAATACTTTCTGGAGGACTCTGGACCGCCTAAACCAGTGTGAATACTTTCTGAAGACTCTGGACAGCCTAAAACCAGGGGTGAATACTTTCTGGAGACTCTGGGCCAGCACTAAACCAGTGTGAATACTTTCTGAAGACTCTGGACCAGCCTAAACCAGTGTGAAACTTTCTGGGACTCTGGACCAGCCTAAACCAGTGTGAATACTTTCTGAAGGACTTTTGGACCAGCCTAAAACCAGTGTGAATACTTTCTGAAGAATTGGACCAGCCTAAACCAGTGTGAATACTTTCTGGAGACTCTGGACCAGCCTAAACCAGTGTGAATACTTTCTGGAGACTCTGGACCAGCCTAAACCAGTGTGAATACTTTCTGGAGACTCTGGACCAGCCTAAACCAGTGTTGAATACTTTTGAAAGATCTGGGGCCAGCCTAAACCAGTGTGAAACTTTCTGGAGGACTCTGGACCAGCCTTAAACCAGTGGAATACTTTCTGAAGACTCTGGACCAGCCTAAACCAGTGTGAATACTTCTGGAGACTCTGGACCAGCTAAACCAGTGTGAATACTTCTGAAGACTCTGGACCAGCCTTAAAAACCCGTGTGAATACTTTCTGAAGAATCTGGACCAGCCTAAAACCCGTGTGAATAAATTTCTGGAGACTCTGGACCAGCCTAAACCAGTGTGAATACTTCTGGAGACCTGGACCAGCCTAAACCAGTTGTGAAACTTTCTGGAGACTCTGGACCGCCCAAACCAGTTGTGAATACTTTTTGAAGATCTGGGCCAGCCCCAAAACCAGTGTGAATACTTTCTGGAGGGTCTGGACCAGCCTAAACCAGGTGAATACTTTCTGGAGGCTCTGGCCAGCCTAAACCAGTGTGAATACTTCTGAAGACTCTGGACCAGCCTAAACCAGTGTGAATACTTTCTGAAGACTCTGGACCAGCCTAAACCAGTGTGAATACTTTCTGGAGACTCTGGACCAGCCTAAACCAGTGTGAATACTTTCTGAAGACTCTGGACCAGCCTAAACCAGTGTGAATACTTTCTGAAGACTCTGGACCAGCCTAAACCAGTGTGAATACTTTCTGGAGACTCTGGACCAGCCTAAACCAGTGTGAATACTTTTTGGAGACTCTGCTTGGACCAGCCTAAACCAGTGTGAATACTTTCTGGAGACTCTGGACCAGCCTAAACCAGTGTGAATACTTTCTGGAGACTCTGTATGGACCAGCCTAAACCAGTGTGAATACTTTCTGGAGACTGTATGAACCAGCCTAAACCAGTGTGAATACTTTCTGGAGACTGTATGGACCAGCCTAAACCAGTGTGAATACTTTCTGGAGACTCTGTTTGGACCAGCCTAAACCAGTGTGAATACTTTCTGGAGACGTATGGACCAGCCTAAACCAGGTGAATACTTTCTGGAGACTCTGTCTGGACCAGCCTAAACCAGTGTGAATACTTTCTGGAGACTGTATGGACCAGCCTAAACCAGTGTGAATACTTTCTGGAGACTCTGTTTGGACCAGCCTAAACCAGTGTGAATACTTTCTGGAGACTCTGGACCAGCCTAAACCAGTGTGAATACTTTCTGGAGACTCTGGACCAGCCTCTAACCAGTGTGAATACTTTCTGGAGACTCTGTTGGACCAGCCTCTAAACCAGTGTGAATCCTTTCTGGAGACTCTGGACCAGCCTAAACCAGTGTGAATACTTTCTGGAGACTCTGGACCAGCCTAAACCAGTGTGAATACTTTCTGGAGACTCTGGACCAGCCTAAACCAGTGTGAATACTTTCTGGAGACTTGTTGGACCAGCCTAAACCAGGTTGAATACTTTCTGGAGACTCTGGACCAGCCCTAAACCAGTGTGATACTTTCTGGAGACTCTGGACCCAGCCTTAAACCAGTGTGAATACTTCTGGAACTCTGGACCAGCCTAACCAGTGTGAATACTTTCTGAAGGACTCTGGACCAGCCTAAAACCAGTTGAATACTTTTTGAAGACTCTGGACCAGCCTTAAACCAGTGTGAATACTTCTGAAGACTCTGGACCAGCCTAAACCAGTGTGAATACTTTTTGGGACTTGGACCAGCCTAAACCAGTGTGAATAATTTCTGGAGACTTGCTTGGACCAGCCTAAACCAGTGTGAAACTTCTGGAGACTTTTGCTTGGACCAAGCCTAAAACCCGTGTGAATACTTTTCGGAGACTCTGGACCAGCCTAAACCAGTGTGAATACTTTCTGGGAGATCTGTAGGACCAGCCCTAAAACCAGTGTGAATACTTCTGGGATGTATGAACCAGCCTAAACCAGTGTGAAACTTTCTGGAGATGTATGGACCAGCCTAAACCAGTGTGAAACTTTCGGAGATCTGTTTGGACCAGCCTAAACCCGTGTGAATATTTTTGGAGATGTATGGACCCGCCTAAACCCCGTGTGAATACTTCTGGAGACTCTGTTTGGACCAGCCTAAACCAGGTGAATACTTTCTGGGGGACTGTAGGACCAGCCTTAAACCAGTGTGAATACTTCTGGAGACTCTGTTTGGACCAGCCTAAAACCAGTGTGAATACTTTCTGGAGACTCTGGACCCGCCTAAACCAGGTGTGAATACTTTCGGAGACTCTGGACCAGCCTTAAAACCCGTGTGAATACTTTCTGGAGACTCTGGACCAGCCTAAACCGTGTGAATACTTTCTGAAGACTCTGGACCAGCCAAACAAGTGTGAATACTTTTGGAGACTCGGACCAGCCTAAACCAGTGGAATACTTTCTGGGACTCTGGACCAGCCCAAACCAGTGTGAATACTTTCTGGAGACTTGTTTGGGCCAGCCCTAAAAACCCGTGTGAATACTTCTGGAGACTCTGTTTTGGGCCAGCCCCAAACCAGTGGTGAAACTTTCTGGAGACTCTTTGGGCCAGGCCTAAACCAGTGTGGAAACTTTCTGGAGACTTTTGGACCAGCCTAAACCAGTGGTGAATATTTCTGGAGACTCTGGCCAGCCTAAACCAGTGTGAATACTTTCTGGAGACTCTGTTGGACCCAGCCCTAAACCATGTGAATACTTTCTGGAGACTTGGACCAGCCTAAACCAGTGTGGAAAACTTTTGGAGACTCTGGACCAGCCTAAAAACCCGTGTGAATACTTCTGGAGACTCTGGACCAGCCTTAAACCAGGTGAATACTTTTGAAGACTCTGGACCAGCCTAAACCAGGTGTGAATACTTTCTGGAGACTCTGGACCCGCCTAAACCAGTGTGAATACTTTCTGGAGACTCTGGACCAGCTAAACCAGTGTGAATAATTTTGGAGACTCTGG